ATATATATATATAAAAAATTCTTCACTTGTGTATGTGTGTCAACACAAGCGATACATTCACTTTGATAGTATTAATGGGTAAAATGGATCTGTGGTGATCGTGGCAGAAGAGAAGGGTAAATCCTTGAAAGATAACTTCACTTAGTTTGATAAGGAACATTCACCTGCCACTAAATCAAAACGTGGTTGAAAATCTTTGAGGTTTAAATTAGAGTAGAAGAAGGCTTTTATACCTTGGAGCTCAAAACATTGTGGAAATTAGTAGGCTTTTGGAGTAATCACTTAAATGAAAGACTTTCTTTGCTGTCTTTTATTTCAGTGAGGGTATTATAGAGATAATGCAAATAGGAGATAAATTGATAAGTGACAGAATGTAACTGAGGTATAATTTACATATATATGCACTTTATAAAGAAAAAACTTTTAAGAAAGGCAGGTTGGGGATGCCTCAAAACTAAAATGAGTAAACAAGATTGCTAGCTTTTTTAAAAGACATTCATTATTCAGAAAAATACGTGACACCTTAGCTGTGGCTTAAGGGACAGAAGTGGAATGAAGCATGCTAGTTTAGGTGACTGCATTGCCTTCCTAATAAATTCTCTCTTAGTGCCCCTATTTATATAACGTTTTCTGTTGTGGTTTTTTTTTTTAATTTGTTTGTTTAGGACATTATTAGTAGCAGTATAATAGAAAACTTTTTTAGATTAATATATTTTATCCTGATTGTATTTTTGCATTTATTGATAGACTGCTCATTGGAGAAGGAGTTTTGGTCAAGGAAGAAAAGCAGCTCCATGCTAAACTGTGAAGGAGCAGCAGTATCTAAAATAAAAAAGAAAAGTAAATCTGATACTTCAGAAGACGAGGAGATACAAGCTATTGGTGGCAAAGATGCTTCCATCTTTCTTTTCCATGCTCTGGGGAAAATACTTTATTGCAAAAGTAAGAAAACTTTGACTTATTCTTCCTTTCAATGGGCAAAGCATGTCAGTTGCTAATAGAGTGACCTCTAATTTACATATTTGGTCATTAATAACAGTATAAGAATAGTCATAAAAGTTTGTGGTAACTGTGATTGCAGCTGTCTGCATATGTTAGGTAAATAAATATTTCATTAAGGTGTACTGCATGTGTGTGATAAAATCACATAACTCTAGTTGCATTAGGTCCGTGTGCTGTCATGCACACAAAGCTAGATAGATAGCCACCACATTTCTTGCTTTGTACAAAAGCAAATTTTGTTTTTGTGCAGAATTATACATTGTTGTGCGGTTATGGTCTGTACTTGTCTGTATTCCTAAAGGTTACAGAACAGCCCTGTAGCCTCATAGCTACTGCCTACCTTATTTGCATGTATGAGTTTGACTTCTCCTGCTGTGTTTTCCTCCCTACTTTTTATCTTGACTCTCTTTCCTTTTAACAGACATAATGTGCCCTCTCCTTTCTGACCTGAAAACCCCTCCCACTACTTTGTCATACCCTGTCTCCCCTTCCACCTCTCCAAAATATTTTCCACCTTTCTAGTACTGAAAGTTCCTGTGTGTGGTTACAGTACTGTTTTCTTACCATTTAAAAACTATAATGAACTGAAAGTGATGTAAACTAGTTGCTGGTAGAGTTCACAGTTGCCAGAAATGCTGCTTAATATATGCAGAAACTACTATTTGTGCAGTTATACTCCTCTGTTCTTGCTCCTATCTAATTTTTATTCTAATTTTGAATAGTTAATCTGAAATGTGTCTCTTTTTCTGCAGGAGAACCAGTGTCAGAATCAGAATTTCCTCAACTGCCTGCTCACTTATCAGAATACCACCGAGACACTTTGCTTATTCAGCCTGAGGTACATCTGCAATAACTACTTGATTCCACTTTGATTTGAAAAGAAACAAACCAAACCAAACTCTTAAGTGATTGGCGAAAATTGTTAAGCACAGTGGTTTTGGCACTGATGTTAATATATGTGTATTCAGTCTGTCTAAGTTACAGAATAATTAATCTGGAAGGGACCTCTGGAGGCTAACTTCAAAGGTAGATGAGGTTCCCACACCCTTTTTGTGTTGTGTTTTGAGTACCTCCAAGGGCAGAGATTCTCTCACCTCACTGACAGACATGTGGTGGGAGGTGGACTTTCCCTTGCTGCAGCCCGTGATTGTTACCTCTCATCCTTTTGCTCTGCATTGCCAGGAGGAGTCTGAGTTCACCTTTCTGTTACCACCCATTAAGAGAGTTGACCACAGCAAGGGCTTCTGCTCCTCCATCCCCACCGTTAAAGTTCTATGGGACGAAACTGGACCTCCCTTTTGTATATGAGGATCACTTTGTAGATCATGTGTGCCAGCTTCCTAACCATCTAAATATCATACCCTTTATAGGATGCTTTTTCTTATACACTGTGTAAAACTTTGATTTTTTTTTTTTTTTCCTAATAGGATATTGTGGAAAAATCGCATATGTCTGGAAGCATGTTTAACTTATACCTTCACCAGAACTATGTAGACTTTTTTTCTGATATAGATGATGTAGTGAGAGCCAGTGAATATTTGAGCACCGCTGATGTCATCTGTAGTAATTGGAATGTAAGTGTCATCTTTTTATACACACTTTTTTTTTTAATACTCTGACATTGAGCTTCTAAATTTTTCTCTAAGTGTTTATGAATGGTAGAAAGCAATTTTCTGACAAGTCAATATGAATTAAGCTATATCACTTCAAACTTACAGTATGGGTCACGGTGCATTGTTAATGAATGCTGAAGTACATCAACTATAGAAGAGATGCAGGTCCCACGTTTGTTCAACTTCCATCAGTATTTTATTGCAGTGGGTTTTAGTTTTTGTAAAATATTCTACAGAGTATTTTTAAATAGAAGAAATCTATGCTAAAAATATGTTGGAGTCTGTATGCCTTTTCCCTGAAGTAATTGAGCTGGGTCTTTCATTTGTCTGCTTTGAGGTAAGTTTCACAGTAATCTAAACATATTCTGGACCGGTCGTGTCACTGCAATTACAGAGTCTGTTTTAGTTCAAGTGAGACATGTTGCACAGAGACCTTGAGTTCACGTGATGCCTGATTTCTCTCTTAGATGCGACTTGTGATGGAAAAATACAGTGTGTCTTTAGCTACCCGAGGGGTGATACATTCAAACACATCCAGAGCCTTTGCCCACCACCAAGGAGGGATGGGGTTCCGGCCTTTACATAAACCCCAGTGGTTCTTTATCAATAAAAAGGTAAATGCTTGATTTTTTTTTTTTTTTTAATTTTTTTTTAATTTCCTGTAAGGTATGACAATTGACTAGTATAGCTGAGATTTGCTCACAGTTGTAAACTTGCCAAATATCCTTTCTTGGTAAAAGCTACTTCTAAAAAGCATTTGCTTGAAGAGTTACATTTGTATTATTCCTTTAATGGAAAAATAAATTGGAGGTCTCTGACAAAATCTGATTCCTGTGTCCAAGTTAGCATACTGCTGGAGGAGTCTTAAGTTAAGGGAGACACAATTAGTGTTGAAATACTATAAAGTATTCCTAAAAGTAAGTAAGTTTTTGAGTAGTTTAAATCACATTAAACTGTTGTGTAAGTTTAAGAAATGACTGCTGTTATATTTTATGCGCTTATCAGAAATAGCTTGTTCATGAGATACCAAAACTCTTTGCAATTTCTTACGTTTGAACTAATACCTTTCATGCTATATCTGGCAAAAGATAGTGGCCTGGATGGATGGGGAGTTCTGTAATCAAGGAGGAAAAAGTTTTTGGAAATTTTGATGCCCATCAGGAGGCAAAAATGAAGGAATTTACCATTTTTATGATCTATATATGTTAACTCTAACTGCTTATCTTTTTTCTGGTCTCATTCTTCAGTAGCTTGTGGGTAGTCATCCAGCAGGCAGGAAGAAGGTCTTGGCTTTTGTGGTACAGAATATCTACATTAATAGTGATTTACTAGGTTTTTTACTTGTGTTTCTTTTTTCCTTGAACTCTTACAGTATCAAGAAAACTGCCTTGCTGCAAAAACTCTCTTTTCAGGCTTCTGCTTACCCCCTGAGTGTCTTCAGACAGAGCTATTGCCTTATCTTGCTATGTTAGCAAATCCAATGAGAAACCAAGGTAAAGTGGATGTAATTCTTCATCTTGGACTCTTTTGTGTCATTAAAGCATACTGAAAAATTTTGTAACCCATAATGTCAATACTATTTATGCTGTTGCCTCCATATAAAAAATACAGTACAGGCACATACCTGATATCTAAAAGTGTTTCTAGTAACATAGCCACCAAAATTACAGCTGTCCTGTTAGGTTTGAAACAACATCACAAACATTATAAAAACTTTTGTAATTGAAAGAGTTAAAGTAAGTATCTCTGTTGACCAAAGTGAGGCTTATATGTATATGATAGTGTCCTCATGTTGGAGTATTTGAAGTCATTCTTCCCTTTTTTTACTGCATGGACTTCTGGTATCTGTGTACTTTGTAATTTCATCGTGTTGCCCTCTCACTCAGTCTCTTAAGGTCCTTGTGCAGTTTTTCTGTCTGCCCATATCCTTATTAGCCTGTCTAACTGGGTGGTATTGGCAAACTCACTCATCTCACTCTTCAGCTTGTTTTTTTCCACAGAGTTACATTTAAGAATGTACTGGGTTGTCCAGACCCTATCACAGATCTCTGCAGAACTGTATTTGCAACTTTTTTCCATTGCAAAAGTTAACTGTTACCTCATAGCCCTGTCCCCATTTCCTTCTCATTAATTAATCAATCAGACTTCAGTGATTACATTATTCTCTGAGGTTTAAGGCTTCTTTTAAAAGCCTCTAGTAGGGGATTTGGTGAGGATGACTTTTGGAACCTGGTAAGCAATATGAACTAGATCTTCACTGTGTACTGATCCCTTTCCAGTAACATCAGGAGGCTTAAAAAGCCTTTCCAAGATAAAATCCAAGTTTGCAGTGCATTAAAAGAATGTGTAACCTGAGGTAATCCAACAGCAGACAGTTCATGCAGAAAATTTACTTTGGTACGTAATCCAAAAATTACTGTTTAGACAGTTGGATCACTTATGCTATGTTAATTACTTCTAATAAAAGGCTTCATGTCTTAACTAAAGCCTTGACCTCAGGATGAATTCATTTTGTAGGCTATGGAATAATGACTACATCATAAATACACAGTTGATGAGTGTCAAGGATTTTTTTAATGTGTAGGAAATCTGTAAATATGTTGTGGTAATGTGGTGAAGAGTTTGGGAAAAAATAACAGAAAAACCCATACATGCATGCACAGTGTTTTGTTATCCAAAATATTGCAAATATATACGGGAATACTTGACTAAACTTACAAATTATTTATTTTTCAGTATGCTTAATTGTATGTGCATTATGATCTACCCACTATGACACTGGTGATTCTTTGTTCTCAGCTCAGATTGCTTTTATCCAAGACGTTGGGAGGCTACCACTGAAAAGGCGCTTTGGGAGGTAAACTTGACTTCTGTTTTTCCTTATGGAAAGTAAGACTAATTTTCTTTCTTAATATATTGAGGAAAAGAGCCCTTTCATAGAGAAATATCTTCAATGTATATCTATGATGTGACGTTTTCCCTCACTTGCAGCATGATAATTTTATGTTTTGCCTGTTAACACTTTTTCCAGCTCAAATGTATTTATCATGACAATGTTAGTGGCAACATTTTTACCGTGGTATTGCTTTTAATCCTTGTTTAGCTTTCTTTCCCATTGTATCAAATATAAGCTCTCCAACCTAGGCATATCTGTTGTTTCTCCAGTGCGTGATCTGAATATACTTTTACAATCAATAACATTTATGTGAGAATAAAACTGAATTGAAGCAAAGTGCAGTATACTCTTTGCATACTGTTTATCATGATACAAAACATGAATCTGCAAGTCTGATCGGACATTCTGTGTTCACACGCATGCTAGTTTGAGGTATAAGAAAGAAGGTATCATGGGGTGTTATTTCCTTTAAAGGAGTTTTGTGTCTAGGAAACTACAAAATATTTTAATGAGTGCTTTGTCTGAAATTAGATGGCAGCACTGATTTTTATTTCCTGGAATTTTTGCCTATCAGACTACTTAGAGTAAACCTTGATTTAGAATGCATTTGTGAAATAAAACTATAGCTACTGAACTCCCTCTGTCTTAGATGTTAAATACTGAAAAAATATTTATTTCAACTGCAAAACTGTAGTGCTCTACTTAATAGATTGTGTAGCGCTCATGGGGTGACATGGCATGACATGTTATATTGTGACTCTAGTGAGCCTTCTGAATCATAGGCATCATTTGTAACAGTGGAGCCTCAGTTACATTTCTGTAACTTTGATATCCCTGAAATTTAAAAAGAGTTTTAATTGTGATGGTCTGTTTCTGTTAAAGGATCAAGATCGCAGCCAGCTTTCAACTCTTAACCAAGGGAGTTTGTTAGGGCATCCGACAAAACATCTCATATTTATCACTGTGGGACTGCTGTCCAAGTTTAACTATGAAATGCTGGCCTGTGAGGTGGAGGCTGTATTACCCAAGAACCACCCTGTTCCCCAATGGTTGTATTAAAAGACATTTTGGTTGCTAGTCAGGAAGAAAGGAAACCGACGGGTGTATTTCTTTGCAGTCTCCCTCATCTAGGCCAAAACACTTGTGACTTTACAAATTAATTGTAGACTTCCTTATGCCGTTAATTTTGTCTGCAGCATACCTTTAAATATTGATAAACGTTTTGTATCTGCATTAATAAGTTGGGTATGTGTCATTTAGAATTTTATCTGAGGGGTGACTTTCTCCCTGAAAACACAGTAATCCTTTTTCATTTGTTCACTATTTTGGAAAGGAAGCATAGAGAAATTTAGGTATTTTAGTAAACATTTGCTTCCTTCAGGATTCCTAATTGAAAATAATTTATTTTGTGTTATTAAACAGTCCTTAAAACAATTTATGTGCAGCTGTTTCAATGGAACTAAGAATATTTTATTTATTTTCCATTATCTATTAATAGAATGGGAATACTACTGTGCTAATAAAACTGTTATCAAGGAGAGTGCATGATCAGCTGGAATTCATGTTAGGATGGGGTTTTTATTAGTAACTCTCTAAGTTTTTATTATTCTCATGTAAAGTGGGAAAAATAATAAAGGAACATTGGTAACATACTGATACAGAGATGGTAGAAAGGTTGAGAAGTCCAAATAGTAAAATAAATTGTAAAATATCAAAAGATCCTTGCAAGTCTTTTTTTTTTTTTTTTTTTTTTTTTTTTAGTTTGCCTTTTCAAGTTAAATTGCTTCCTGTCCTAAAGGATTTCTGTTTAGCTTGGAAAGGCTCTAAAGTACCAGGGGCTGTTGTCAGTAAGTTAGAAGTTAGTTGTTAGCAGCTCATCTATATGAGGAAGCTCAGCCAAGCCACTGCCACTGTAAGGAAGAAACTTAAAGCAACAATAGGTGCTGGGGAGTGAAGGAGCACAAACGTGTTCTGGCATTTTGCTGTTGCTGTAGCTGTGGTTCGCGGCTATGCAGGGTGGCGCTTTCCTGAGAGAAGCTCTTGTCACTTCTGTATGCTGCCGTGTAAGCTGTGCAGCGTTGAGTTCTGGGAGAGGTATCTTCCTGGAAGATGTGCGCAGAGCTGTAAAAACATAATACTGCAGGTAGTGATGTAAGCGCAGGATGTGGATAGCTTGGCTTGGCTGTGATTGACAGAGGGTGTTGCTGCCTGGAGGTGTGAAAGCTGTGAATCACCAGTGAAGAACAGTGACCTGTATGGTAGATGGGGCAGTCTTTTCTATTGCACCCTCTGTGTGAGAGAGCAGCTGTTTTTTTGCGGTAACCTACTGTTGCAATGATAATTTTACAGGTTAAAGCTTGAAACACTTACTGATAAAGATCCTGGGATACCAGACATATTTGTTTACTCTGAGGGGGACCCTGCCAATGTGTGTGCTATGGAGACAGCTGCACAGATAGAGGAAAAAGGAGCAAATGAGAATGAATCGGATGGATTCCCTCTCTCTTCTAGCCAGTGCAGTGGAAGTGAGCTACCTTGCAGTCAGCCTCAGCCTGTTGCATCTCAAGCAATCATGGAGGAAGATGAATTAAAAATAGAGGAATATGATAGTGACTGAGTACAACAAAATATCAACCACTGATGTGCCTGAATAGATTAATACGCTACAAAGGCCTTTGCTAAACAGAGTATGGTCTGCACAGAATTACTGGTTTACCTGCTTAGGTGGGCTAGGAGGCCAAGTCTAAACATGTTGTGTCAGCGTTGAGACAGCTCTCCTCAGCTTCCTCTTAACTTTGCAGGATTGGACCTGACTGCATACTAAATTACAAGCTATTCCCTGCCTCTCCTGAGCCATGAAATAATCCATGTTGATAAGAAGAGAATAATAAATGATGACTGAAATGAGTTTGAAAGAGATTGTAGATAAGCAGCGTCACTCTTAAGTTATTTTTATTTTTTACACATTTTAATTTACTTTGCAGTTGTACAGTGTGTTTCCTGAGTACACATTTGATTAAGTTGCATTTGAAAGATTTATTAAAATTCATACCTTCAGAAAAATTGCTGGTTGGAAGCTTGGCTCTTCTGGAAGAAGAGACTGAAGTGTACATTTGAAAAGTTTGGTGTTCCATACTGGTGATGTAAATAAAACTCCTGCTGTATTAGTACTGTTTGGTACTCTGCCACAGATTTTTGTGTGTTTATAAATTGAACATATGGTGTACAACAGATTATTTTGGATTCCTTTTCGGATTATATTTTCATAACTTATGGAGGGGAAACTATAATGATCAAGCCAAGTCCTTCTCATCCTTTGTATTCAGTAATAAGTTAATGGTGTAGTGTGTAGGTTTTCTCCTTTAAATTGCAGTTGTGCTGGGGGAGGGAATAATTCTCTGTTTGGTAACTGACATGTGAGAACTGTGTTGTGGTTGTGTGAATAGACTGTTTAATACTTGAGCATTTCTCTGCAACTGGGATTGGTCCATGCAAATCAATCTGATGTGTTGTTGTTAGTGATACCACAGGAATAAGAAGGAAACCAAACCAAAGAACTCTGACTGTATAATATATGTTTGCATTTCTGTATTGCTTACATCCAAAGTTTAGTAGAAGAACAGAGGTGTTTATCCACTGTAACCTTGTAATTAAAAAGTCCAGATTTGTTCTCTCTCAAGGGACAGTTAGGGTCTTTCCATCTATAGATTAAGGGAAAGATTAAGGGCAGTTTCTCCCTTAATCTTTAAATTGTGTTATGGCTATACTCATTACAGCAAAGTCAAAATGATTTTGGCTGTTGATGCCTCCTCACACCTTTCCCGCATTTCTCTAGGGTGCTTCGGATGGGGTGACCCCTGCTCAGCTGAGGTGGCAGCTCTCTTCTCTTGGGCCTCTTGCAGTTGTGTATCACTGAAATGCCATCTGACCCCTCCTGCGCTCCCAGGGAGGGGGGATCTCTGGTGCAAATGACAATAAGGCATGAAATACTGATTTTTACTTTGCAGGCAGAACTCCAAACTACTTTTTAATATCTTTTCAGCTTTCCTTACAGGAGTAGCAGGTAATAGTAGTAATAGAGTTACTTTCACATCAACTACTTTGTGTACTGTTGGCCTTGTCCTTTCTAGGGCTAAGATTTTTTTTGTTGTAGTTTTTAGCCGTTCTTCTAGTATCCTGATACTACCAGTGGTTTCGTGAGCTCTTCTTGCAATACATTGGCTGGGAGTTCGCTGTACATTTGCCTGTGAAGGGAGAAATGTTTGTGCGTGTTTGTGTCGAAGACCTCTTTTATGTAAAAACATACTGGATCCCACTCCAACTCACTGCATTCCGATAAGAGAACTATTCCACTGTAAGATGTGACTGTGCAACCTGAACCAGGCTGCATTTACACAAAACTTACAGTACACGTATTTCTGTGGCTGGAGGAGTGCATCCCACCAGCCTGGCTCCCCTCTGGCATCCGTTTGAAACTGAGACTACAAACATGAGGATGTCGGGCAGTTGGTGTTAGTAATGGGTTTTCTTGGCGGGGGGGGAGGGGAGAAGAAGAGAAGTACTCATGGTAAACTGCATCAAGACCAAGGGGACGTTCCTCTTTAATGCGCCACACAACTCTTAACGTGAAGCTGTGTACAACAAAATATGCCCGAATAGGGAGTACCATCAAGAGATTCATGAAGCTTGCTGAACAACGAAAGCTGCTTTCTCCAGGGTCCAAAGAATATGAGGTAAAGAAGGATAAAACTGTGAAGGTTGTGTTTCATCTCCCTCTTATCCCTTCCAAAAATCCACATTTGGCACTCCTCTTCCAGGTGACTGATCCTAGCTATGATTTTAGCAGAGAAAGGTGTTAAAAACCTGATATTCTGGCTTTCCAGCTTGGGCTTCTCTGATCTGGACAGATAAATTCCACATGTTCAGTAGCTGAATTATTTAGGTCTGTGTGCACACTGAGGGCTTTTGGCTGGCTTTTATTTAGGTTTTGGCCAGAGTCCAAACGTATTGGTGAGCAGAAGGAGTAGTTTAAAATCTCTGGTATTGCTCAGTCAGACAAAAGAAAACCTTGCAGCATTTGCATACATGCTCAGGCCCTCTGAGGGCTAGCTCTGGTCTTCGAAGCTTGACAAAACTCTTCAAGAAGTTTTTCAGCCCTCCAACTCCAC